TAGACAATTAGATATAATCTTAAACGAAATTGATACAATTCCGAAAAAAAATATAATAGCAATTTTATATCAAATACCCCTTTCAACAAAAAGACAAAAATTCTGAGAACAAGCAAGAGAGTTAGATAACAATCTAGAACCAAATAGATAGTCAGCAAAAACGAAACAGATACAACCTAACGAGTAGATATCAGAGGAACAGCGAGAACCAGAACAAAGAACAAAGAACTATTCGTTCGCGCAAAGCAAAGCGAAACCCGGTGAACATTTGGTTAGTCGAGGAAGTGGTAATGTGGTCGTTTCCTCACTCCCGTTGCGCTGTCGTGTACTGTGCTTCTTGTGCAATTAAAGCTTTTTTTTTTTTTTTTTTTTTTGGGGGGGTGTTTCTGCTTCTACTGCTTGTTTGTTTGTTTTCTTCATTTTTATTTTAAGGGTGTGTTTGTATATAGGTTAGAATTTGGAGTGGTATTTACTTTTCGTAGAAATACACTTGAGTAATATGTGTTGATGGGGACAGAGAGGAGAGAGAGAGGGAGGGAGAGATGAGAGAGAGAGAGGAGAGAGAGAGAGAGAGAGAGAGAGAGAGAGAGAGAGACAGACAGACAGAGAGGAAGAGAGAGAGAGAGAGAGAGAGAGAGAGAGAGAGAGAGAGAGAGAGAGAGAAATGAAGACAGACAAAAATGTTAAAGCAGAGACAAAGAAGGAAAACAGCAAGTCAGCATGAGGCAGCTTTTGGAAATGACAAGCTTCAGAAAAATGCAGTTTGGTATGAGGTGGATATTTGTTATTTGCGGGACAGCGAAGTTATTGTGAACAGAATAACAGAACTTTGTAAGTACATGTGATCACTATTCTTTCATGTAGTCATATGAACAGCATAAGCACACACACAACATACACAAACACACACACACACACAAAAAAACACAAACACACACACACACACACACACAAACCAACACACACCACACACCACACACCACACACAAACACACAAACACACACACACACACACACACACACACACACACACACACACCACACACACACACAAACACACACACACACAAACAAACACAAACACACACACACACACACACACACACACCAACACACAAACACAACACACTCACACACACACACCAACACAACAAACACACACACACACACACACACACACACACACACACAAACACAAACACACTCACACAAACACACACTCACACACACAAACACACACACACATACTTAGAAGTTGCCTGCCTACCTGTGCAAAAGGTATCTTGCTCCAAGGAGGAAGTTAAAAGGTACTAGAAAGTTGTTACTTCTATGAGAAACTGTTATGGAGTGCATCGTCCTCTTCAACCGCTTGGGGCTATGCATGGGTGCTTGCGTGTGGGCGTGTGCGGGCGTGTGTGTGTGTGTGTGTGTGTGTGTGTGTGTGTGTGTGTGTGTGTGTGTGTGTGTGTGTGTGTGTGGTGTGTGTGTGTGTGTTTTGAGAGAGAGAGGGGGGGAGAGAGAGACAGACAGACAGACAGAGAGAGGTTACAGAGAGAGAGAGAGAGCGAAAGCGAGAGAGAGAGAGAGAGAATACAGAGAAGGAGAGAGAGCGAAGCGAGAGAGAGAGCAGACGAGAGTACAGGAGCAGATAAGAGAGAGAGAGAGAGAGAATACAGAGAAGAGAGAGAGAGCGACGAGAGTAGGAAAAAAGTGGAAACCGCAAGTCAGCATGACGAAGGGATCCTCCGAGGAAACTTCTAGAACAATGCAGCGTGAGTTTCTAAAAGACCTTTTAAATCCTTCTATTGCTTATAGCTTACATATATTTTTTTTCTACCCAAATCTTCTTCAAAATCACTATTAACCAAACAAGATAAGAAAAAAATATATCTTAAAACGTATTATATAAAAAAAAGAATAAAAAAAACGGGAAAGTTAAAATATGGTCCAAATAAGACATTCTTGGTTGTCAAAATACATCAACCATAATGAACAGATTTTTTTTTTTTTTTGGTCTTATTTAATTGAAAATGAATCATGTCTTTAAAAAAAAAAAACGTTTATTGTATCATTTACTGGGATACATTTGGTGAATGTTGGCATTTGTGAATATTTTCCAGTGTTTCTGAAGACATGACCTGGAATTATTTGATAAAGTGTTATATTTAGCTATATGCATTCAGACATTGTTTGCAAATTTTCGTCACACACTGGTGCTTGCAATCTTGAGGTGCAACAGGGTTATACATTAACTTTATCGAAAAAAACAAGAATAACTCCCCTGTTGAAAAAAAAACTTTTAACCTTGTAGGCTACGTAATATAGTAATCAGGTGATAATCCCAGTATTCAGATATTCTTTTTTATATATAATACCGTTACGAGAACTTTGAAAGGATTAAAGTGCATCCTATACAAAGTATACGTATGGTAAGTTCCTCTGTGTTTGAAGATATCCTTTCCATTCTTAATCTTCATCTTCATCGTTCTCTTCCTCCTCCTCCTCCTCTTCTTCTCTTTTCATCTTTGAGATTGTGTTTTGAATGTTGTTTGTTCTTGTTGTGATTGTTGTGTTGTCGACATCTTCAAACACAGAGGAATGCCGTTAGTTTCATGTGCGTATTGTTTTCATAGATTGCTTGTTGTTATTCATGTGCGTGGAATGTGTGAGAGGCGAACACACAATGGCGAGGGCAGAGATTAACACGAGAGAGGTGGTACAGGAAGTAGCTGTTTAACCTTACCGGTTCCCAACGAGTGAGCCAGACACACACACACACACACACACACACACACACACACACACACACACACACACACACACACACACACACACACACACACACACACACACACACACACACACACACACACACAAACAAACAAACAATACAGACAGACACTGTGAACCCGTTGACATACGTGAATGCAAAAAAAAAGTAATAATAATAACAACAATAATAGCAATAACAGTAATAATGATAGAAAAATTAATGAGTTACACGTAGATATTTCTCAAATGTTCTTATCAAGAAATATACGTAAGGACCTAATCATATATCTATAGAATTAATACTTTTCAACAGGTTTCTGATAAATAACTTACCCCCTCTAAGCCCCTTCAAGTTACCTTTCAAAAGCCTCTTGACAAGAAACCCTCCCTAACCCTCTGTTCTAAACCTCTGCAAGCATAAATACACTACAAACGGATCACAGATATATATAAAAATTAACATTACAAATAGGGAGAGAGACAAGGCATTTATTGTTACCATATACCCCGTCTGGGAGCGGTTGACACAGGTTAAGTACCCCAGCTTATGTAAAGTCGCAGGGCTTAGCAACAAGTGTTTGGCCTTGAACCTTCAGTTACTTCGTTTTCTTATCTTATGCGTTAAAAAGGTAAAATATATCGGTAAAACAGGTTGCATGTTGTCGGTTTGTGTGTGCGTGATGCCTGTCACATCTGAGGGAAGGGTTTGACACGGGGATTCCCACGTGTAGGTTTTAGTTTTTCGGTCTTTTTTTATGTTTTGGAAGCTTGTGGTAGGAAATTTAGTTTTTGTTGGATTATTTCTAAAATGTATGTGATGCGTTTAGTATCCGCTCAATTCGCCATCAGTTGTATTATGTGGTATTTAGGTATTTATGTATAGACACGTGTACGTCATCTAAAGTAGTGCATGTTTGTATTGAAGGAGAAAATTTTAGAGGGCATCTTTAACGAGGATTTTATTCAGCATCATCCTCACGTTGTATAAGCCAGAGGAGGAAGCACTCGCAAAAAAAAAGAGATAACGAGACAAGCCGGTGTTATAAAGACAGTCCCCCACCATAGTAAACAATGGTGAAAATAACACCTAAATATTAACGGAATTACACACAGATAACGTGCTAAATCATCCATGAATTGCAAGCTCTTTAACTGGCATTTCTTTAAACACAAAGAAACTTTATTTAATGCATGTGCAACTATGTGCGTGCGCGCGTGCTCCTCGAGGCCAGCTGCGTAACCGCTTCTCTCCGAACTTCAGTCGCCAACCGACCATCGTAGAGAGAGCACGTGCGACCTCCTCTCCTGAGAATCCTCGTAAAACCCTTAAATTCCTTCAAAATGGTGAACCTCGGCGACGTTTTCCCCAACTTCACGGCTGAGAGCACCATCGGGACTCTCGATTTCCATAGTTTCTTGGGAGACAAGTGAGAATTTGTCTTATTTTGTTCTTTATGATTTTGGCGACGCGAAAAGCCGGCAATGGCATTTCTCTGATTTTCTTGCGTTATTCTTCTATATAAGCTAATTTTATGTGCTTTAAATGAGTCTGCTGTATGCCTAGAGTTGGTTTTCACTGAAGAAATGTGTTGACAGTTATTAGAAATAGCTTAATTGAGTTATTTATGATCAGGAATGTCTTGTCGGCACACCCACGTATCGCGTTACGCATATTAAATTCTTTTTTCTATTTTATTTTAGTCTTTATACGCATGTCATCTCGCGCTGACTCATTTTAATTGAATTTGAATGAAGAATGAGTTGTTGTAATGAACTGCAGTTGATCTTGAGTTAGTGGAGAAGGGAATTTTATCAGAAATGTGATCTAACCGACCTTGACCTTGGATGAGCTATGTTGCAGAATAACTTTGTATTTTGTGCAGTGTTTTTAGGGGTAATGAATTGTACTCGTTTTAAAGTTGATTTTTTTTTTTTTTTACAGGGTTTTGTTAAATGTACAGGAACTGACATGAAGTTATAGATATATAAACGATTCTACAGGAGGATGGGAAGTAAAGTTCACGCTGCATAATAATTTTGCACTGGTATAGGTCAGCAGCGACTCTTCACAGCGACTTCTGCCCTCTAGCGTAGTTTTAGGGTTTGACGACCAATGCTCTTTTGACCAGCTATATGTGGGATTAATGAACTGATGAAATCTAGCACTTTGTCAGGGACATCCCCACCCCCCATTTATTAGCACTTCATGCCAACCTATAAAAACAGACATTAAGAATTCTGGCTGTGTGAGGGTATTGCAGACACGTCTCTGAACGGTGATATGCAGCAGATATTTTCATTATTTACCAGTAAATGAGAGGCAGCTGCAGCTTAAACTATGTTGTTTCTTATTCTATTTCTTACGCTCTATAAGATGGTCTTGTCCATATCCGCACAATCTCAGCATGTCAGTCTCAGTAACCTATACTTTCTTGTTTCTTTATTTTGTAAAAGTGAGAACTTGTCTGAGATAGAGAGAGAGAGAGAGAGAGAGAGATTGATTGATTGATTGAATGAATGATTGATTCATGAACATCAAGTTTATCTGTAGACAACCTATGAAAACTACTTAAGTATAGTTTGTTTTGCACAGTCATATGGTACAGGATGACCTTTGCCTGTAATTAATAAATTGACAGGAATCGATGCACTTTTAATCTTTGGCATTTCCTCTGCAAGTTGATAGTAAGTTGTGCAACATGTAATTTGAAAATGTAATAACAGTATAATGAGAGGGATAACTACTCTCATTGAGACACAAAATTAAGGAAATAGGTTGCAACAAATGCCACGGGGGAGAGTATATCCAGTGATTGGATGTGGGTGATGGAGCCTTCAATAGGGAAATATGGGGATAGGATGGGAATCTGCAAGTGAAGACCCGAGGTTGGGAAGGATTTTGGTTTATATGGCAATGTTTGTGGATTTGCCAGGAGTGGCTGGAGTAATAGACTAAGAGGGTTCAGTCACTTCATAGACAATACCAATGCTTTAATTTTTATATAGTTTGCTCCTGCTCTCTTCTCCCCCCCCCCCCCCCCATTTCCCTCTTTCCTTCTCCTCCACCCATATCTCCCTCTCTCCCTTCCCACCCCTCCATCCCCCCCCCCCCCCCCCATTTCCCTCTTTTTCTCCCTCTCTCTCTCTCTCCATTCCCCTCTCTCCCCACATACTTACTGTTTTGCATATAGCAATGAATGACAAGTTGCATGATAAGGATCCTTAAAGTGTTGAATTGCTTGTGGTCGACAGAGCATAATGACAATAGGCTATTGTTCTAAGGTTGTCCAAGTATGCAAGCACTGAAAAATATTGTTCATGTATCATTTGCTTGCAAGTTTAAGTATAGTGTTAGGGAGTGTTAGGGAGACCTGTCTGCCATACTTTTTTTTATTACCATATGTATTTTGTATAAAAAATATATTTTCCACAAAAAATCTTCCATTTAGTCATTTTCTCTTTTCCTTGGTCCTTGTTTCTATTTACCTCTTTTCTAGTTTATAACTGTATATATATTATTACAGATGGGGCATCCTGTTCTCCCACCCAGCTGACTATACTCCAGTCTGCACAACAGAGCTGGGAAAGGTAGCCAAGTTGGCTCCTGAATTCACAAAAAGGAATTTTAAGATGCTGGCCATTTCATGCGACAATGTGAACGATCATCTTGGCTGGATTAAGGTATTTTTTCCCCTTTTTTCTTTTTCTTTCCCTCAATATGTTTTTATAATTTTGATCTTCATCTCTTGCATTCAACTTTAATAGATTTTTTCTTTCTTTCTTTCTTTTTTCTTTTTCCTGTTATTGTTCCTAATCATATTGAATATGATATACTTTATATTGTTTCTGTTTTCTCCTTGTAGGACATCCAGGCTTACAACTGCCTCTCAGGAGATTTCCCCTTCCCTATTGTAGCGGATGAGAAGCGTGAATTGGCTATCAAGCTCGGCATGCTTGACCCAGACGAGAAGGATTCTGCAGGTATGCCCCTGACAGCCCGCGCCGTCTTCATCATTGGACCTGACAAGAAGCTGAAGCTCTCCATTCTGTACCCTGCCACAACTGGACGTAACTTTGAGTAAGTAGTAGCGGAGGGAAAGAGAGAGAAAAGGTTGTTCTTTTTTTTTTTAGATTGTGCAGTGTTGGGTTCTTTTGTTTTGTATTAGATAATGAAGGAAATGTTTCATCGCTGAAAAAAAGAAAGCTGATGTTCCAGATTTTTTTTTTTTTTATTATTGCTATAGATATTCAGAAGCTAGATTTCCATATCCTCCCCTTGCTCATTTCAGTGAAGTCCTACGTGTCATCGATTCCCTGCAACTGACAGCTGAAAAGAAGGTGGCAACCCCTGCTGACTGGCAGGCTGGTGGAAACTGCATGGTCTTGCCTACCATCCCTTCTGCAGAAGCCAAACAACTATTCCCAGATCACAAGGTTCATGAGGTGCCCTCCGGCAAGCAATATCTGCGTACCACTCCTTGCCCCAAGTAAATTTGAGGTCTTGAAAGGTGCTATTTGGGTGGCCTTTTTCATTTACTTAAAGATTTCCTGTAATCTTTTTGTTATAAAACTTCTTTAACTTCTCTTTTTTAAGAATTCAAAATTTTATATGGAAAAAAAATTGATTTTGCTTCCAGAACTCATTTTTTGCACAAATTGTATTAATTAGCTGTTTTGACTTTTGAGGGGTTCTGTACCTGACTTTTGTCACTTGGGTGTTATTACTTTTGCACCATAATAGTGTAGGTTTTTCATACTTTTTGTAACCATAGGGTAGAAGAGAAAAAAAAAAGTGGAAAGGCTGTAGAAAGCTATAAAAGGAATCATCGTCTGTCAACAGTAAAAGCAATTTTTTTTTTTTAAGATATTTAGTTTAGTACATTATATTTTTAAAGACCTTTATTAAAGTTACTTAATTTTGTTGATCCAAAGTATAAATATTACTTAACATTTTCCATACAAATGTAAACTTACCACCAGTGCCTGTATGGAAAACAAAAATCCATTCCATTTTGTTAGACAAGAAAATTATATTTTGTACTACATTTCTTTAAAATAAAACACACAAAACATTTTCCTGTTTTTTTATGTATCTGACCTAATTATATATAAAAAGCATGATATTACAGGAGAATGAAGACTTAACATTTTGTCTTCATGAGATTCACTATTTCATTCTCAGGCACTCTTTACTTCACACTTTCTCTATATATTTCACTTTCTCTCTCGCTCTCTTGCTCTCAGAAGCTCTCCACACTGGTGAGCTTGAATGAAGTCTGTTATAAGTATAGGAAGGATTGTCTTCAGATCATACAATTATATACCTAATATCTCTACAAAGCATGTTTGCATGCTTGCATTTACAGGACTTCGTAATCTGTCTCAGAATGAAAGCAGAAAAAATATTCAGTCCATTTACTGGGGGGAGAATCTGGAAATTTCTATGTCGCATATATATCCCCCTATTTAAAAAAAAAAAAAAAAAAATGATTGCTCTTCACATTGAAACACATTCAGACAAGCAGGCCTGATCAGGAATGTGAGCAAGAAATGACATCATAGGCAGACAAACTACTAACTAGTTGACTAATTTCCAAGTGGAATTGGTTATTTATCGTTTCTCCCCCACCCCCCAATGTGACTTCTCTGGCAAGCTTATGGAGACTTGCATTTACAAAAAGGAAATGTATTAGGAATGTTACTTTAACAGTTAGTAAGGCTCAGGATCATGGGAACTTGATATGTAGAAAATATGGAAAGAATTAATAACCTTTTTAATGTATCCAGTTTATCATAAAAAGATTATACATCATTTTCCTTCTGTTCTTCAATTTAATATTTCTATAGATTATGGGTTGTTCAGTTAAGCCCCCACCAGACAAACCATACCTAGCAGCATTTGTGTGTTTCTCTTGCAAAGCATGTCCCTTGATACACATGGGTGGTGGTATTTGGCAGAGTTCTCTCTCCATACCCAGTAGCAAATGGTCTGACTAGTAGATAGACGGCCTTATCTACTGATTTTGCAAGACCATAGGCATGGACACTCCCTTGGTTTACTCATCAAATTTGTTTGAAAAAAATGGTATTGAGTATGTTGGTCAGTGCTCGTTTGTGTGGACAAGGTTGTATATGTGTAGATTGTGGGCTCAAACAGATGCTACGGCTTCAAATAGCATTATGATGAATTTGCAATAGGACAATTTATGAGTTTTTTGGGGCTTACAAATAAATAAGGATCCATTAGATTACTTCCTGTACTCTAACATGGGGATGAAAAACTCAAATATAATCTATGCTTTATTTCCATGCAATTCATACAAAACATTAACTGCAATTTTCAATATCCTTCAAGTAATGAAAAATAATTATTTTTCCAAAAAAAAATTATGCAAAATGTACCATAATCACCTAAGTCCTAATGCAAGTGTTTCCAATAAAATTAAATCACTTTATAACTTTCAATAAATTTCATAGGATCTTTTGTGACAAACATTTTTTTAACATACCTGCAGGAACTACAAAATTAGTCTTTTTATCACAACTACCAAAAAATTGCAACCTCTCAGAGTAGGACTGCATATCGCACCAAGTTTCCTGGTCCGCGTACTTCTCTTATGCGCTTGAGTGTGCGAAGAGCAGTCATGATAGAACGACCATTGCTGTCCAGCTTCAAGCTACTCCAGCGCTTGATATCATTATCAACTACAAAATACAGACCTGAAATTATTTGGAAATAGAATCAGATTTTGATAAGGTTTTTTAGTACTGTATTCTTTATTAGTGAAAGCAAATTTTGGAGCCATATTGTTAAAACCATGATGATAAATTACAGGGTCATTACAAATATATATCTAAGAGAAGTACTAAGGAAACTGAAAATAACCATCAACAACCACTGAAACAAAACCATGCCATTGATTAACCTACCTTTGGTCTCCTGGTTTTCTTGCTGCCTGCATCCCATTGCCACCTTCATGTCAACATCGGAAAGCTTAGCACGTGGACGCCTCAAAAGGGCATACTTGGTTTCTAACGTCTTGTTGACCTCATCAACTGCCAAATTTATTTGGTCATACTGTAGACGTCCTCGAATATACCTACCAAGACAAGATGAATTGTATCAGTTTTGTTGAATGACAGAGTAAAGCACACCAAGGTTTTTTAGAAATGATATGAGGAAAATAAGACCATGCATGTTTATCAAACATGAATCACATTCATGTGATACGGAAATACCCTTTAAACCACAAACACAGAAATTCTTCCTAGTATACTTTACATTATGCCATTTGAATACATTTTATTGCAGGAAACTTATAAATTTGCATTTGATATGATATCATGGAGGTAAAAAGGCAAGATCACATAAAAGATAACATATACTGAAATCTTGAAAATACTCAAAATATAAAGATTTATCAGGTAAAGAATATTATAGTCTTAACATATACTAAGGAAACTAATGAACCAATGACTATCTTAAAAATACAGCTATTATTTCTAAGGTATAAGTTAGTGTGGATTACACCAATTCCAAAAATACTCTGCCAAAGTACACAAGAAATGCAATGTCTAAGAGCACAGGCAGTAGCCACAATATTCATATCAATTCTGATTTTTTAAAAAGCAGAAAGAAAGGAGAAAGGCAATCAAGACAGAAATCACGACATTACACTTACTTGGGTACATCATTAAATTCCTTCACTGTCACATAAGAAATGGTAGGAGTCTGAGATGACTTTCCAGAGTCCTTCTTTGGTGCCTGCTATTTGAAAAGGAATATGCATTAATAAAACATTTATGCAAATGTGACCTGTACTCTTTCTGAATGACTTCTCTTGGACAAGTAAAAATAAAATAAAATAAATAAAAAAAATTATCATCATCATAAATATCAGTCACCACACATTTGCAAAAATAATAATGATAATGATAACCATTAATCAGAATATTCAAAACAAGTGTGCCATTAAAAAAAAAAAAAAAAAAAAAAAAAAAAAAATTTATATATATATATATATATATATATATATATATATATATATATATATATATATTATATATAATATATAAATCAACATCAATAAGCAAAACAGAAAATTTCAAAACAATGAGACTAATTCCATTTTAAACATACTTTTTCTTGACTAGCTTTGTTCTTTTTGTCACTGTCTGCGACCACATGCTCAGGGGAGACCTTAGTGATGGAGGGATTGGCATTTGCTCGTGGCAGGTGGGATGGGAGGTTGGTCTTCATGTGCGCCAGTCGGGTGCACAGTTCTTGCATTTGCTCTAGGAGAGTATGTGCAGTGAGCAGGTCCTTTTTGGAGCTGGTGATAATGCCTTTGAACCTAAAAATTTCTGACCGTATGAACTGCAACTCCTGCTTCAGCTGTCCGAATTCGATCACCGTGTCCTCCTTCCAGCCGCCACGAAGATCAGAACATATCTACAGCATAAAGTGGATGGGTATGAATGGGGGAGAGAGCTGGAGTCAGAAGGAAAGGAGAGGAAATGAGAGAGAAAAGAAACAAAGTTTGAGGAAGAAATAGGAAGTAAAGTAGGGGAAGGAAGAGAAGGGGAGGTATTATAGGAAAGGAAGTTAAGCAAAGCGAGGAAACCCCAAAATTATTTTCCCAGTGTCTATTCTTTTTTTAAATAATAATAATTACATGTAGGTGCATTTAAAATAGTAATAATTCATAAACAGCCTGACACAGTTACTAATAGGACTGACTTCTAAAGCCTCAAATTCTTCATATATATCATGAAAGTATTACCATATCATTAATCAAACTACAAAAGTTAATAACAATCTCTTGCACTCCAGGACTTTAAATAATAATAATAATAATAGTAATAATATAAAATTAAATAGACAGGGAGACAAACAGATTCATTAATTACAAGAAATTAAAAAACCTAACCTGTAAAGCAGCAATCTTGTTTCGGAAACCCTCCTCTAGGGCTTCTAAAGTGAGTGCTGTGCCGACTGCAGTCATCTTCCTCTGAAGAATCAAATGAATATTACTTTCTAATTAGGGTATTGGACAATGAAATACATTAAATATCACCTTTCTTATGATTGATGAGCAAATTGATAAATAATATATCCTTTGAAATAAATTTTACTCACTTCTTATCAATGTGAATCCTGTATATACAAAGGTATATGATATATGTGAACATATATCTATGAATGCATATACACAAACACTCAGGTTTATGTGCATGTTCATTTTCAAAATATGTGTATTTGTGTAAAGTTTATGCAGATTTATAATTCTAATTACATATTACATATAATAATAATGGATAATATATAACTGCCAAATATTACCAATCTTGCAATTTAGCAAACCAGTAAAAAATTATGGATGTTCAATCTGCCTTATTCTTGTTGCAATAAAATTATTTCTATAATTTTCTTCTCCCTTTTTTTATAATCACATCTAAACTGAACACTTAATGAAATCCCAATGCCAAGGTTTAAGTACAACTTGTATATATATATATTTAATATTTATTATCGGGCATTAACTATACATGTGATGTCTTATGTCCTATCTGGTTAACATTCATCATACAAAATTATATACACTTATGTACAGGAACATAGAGATTCCCCATCAAAGTTTGCTCCTTAAAAGACTGTGTTCATATTCATAAAACAAGTATGAAAAATGAAAGCTATACTTTATATAAAAATATATCCCTGAAATAAATTATTCCCATGAATTAAAACAAAACAAAAAACATATTCAACTCCTTGGTCACACACACCACTATCACAGAATCACTTTTAAATTTATTCTTTGGTTTTTAAAAGAAAAGAAAAAATAGAACACTACATTCACTCTCAAGTTAATTGCAATGAAAAGCTTTTTAGTTCTCTGGAAAATGCCTGCAACTGAGTTATTGTGTTGCCAAGTGAATACTTTCCACTGTCTATATTTTGAAGAGTTAACACCGTACTGTCGATATATATGGCACACTTTCCTTTTATTTCTTCAATGAAACTTTGAACTCTTTGAAGCAATGTTTCTTTAGCTTTGTCATACTCTGTATTCA